CCATAATATATTAAAGTAAGAAAGGAGGGAAATTTCTTTTTAGGACATCTAAAGATGAATGCAAATTGTTCTACTATGATTCTTAATGACCCACTATTAACATAGTGGGAACCCAGTGTGTTAATGCAATACCTTTTTTCACATCATTACTCCTAATGGAACTGTTAGTAGCATAATAGCTTGACCTTTAGCTATAGATTCACACAGCAAAAACACATCCTGCTTACTCCATATCTCTTCACAAAGCATTTTGAGTGTTTTCAGATCAATACAATGACAATATTTTGGCCTTGTTCTAAGGTCTCATCTGTGCATGTAATGGAGAGAATAGTATTTGCTTTTGTCCTTTAGTTGAAAGTGTCTTTTTAAGTTTGAATGTAATCTATAAAGAAGAATTATCAGTAATGTACCCAGTAGAAGTGTTTGTATAGATAGTTTCCAAGAAACCTATTGCTGTGTTTTCAAAAGTCTCAGACACAAATCCAGGAGAGAGAGTTTTTCTTGGCTTCTTTATACTGAAACGAAATATGTTTTAACTAAAAAGACAAAAATAAGCAGACATAGCTGCCATGTTAGTGAGTGACAATACTTGAGCTCAAGTTTAGATGAGGAAGGTCTAATGTGAAGCTCCTCACAGAGTGGATGAGAACACGTCCCTTCTTATCTCTTCAACAGAGTTCTTGATGTGCTTGGTTGCTGAGAATCATCTTGATATTGATACAATAGAAAGCTACGTCTTTAAAATTAGAGCCACTAGTTTCTAATGTGTGTTAATTTGGACACAGATATGTCACCATTTAAGAAAAGAGAGGTTGCTATGGAAATTAATTATGCAAACAATATTGCAAGGGGGGATGTTTACCTGATAAGACAAGTGGATACAATAATTTTGTAATAAACATTTTTATATAAACTAATAGGGTGCTAAATACAAATATTTTTGTCTGCTCATTAAAGCAGGACTTCATGAACCTTTTGGTGATTATCTGAAGAGTAAATATTATTGTGGGCATCTGAATGCTACAAAATCTTGTCCCGTTAAGTATATTCTATTAATTAAGACTTCTTACTAACTCAGATGTTGTTGTTATGTGCCGTCGATTTGCTTACTAACTCAGATAAGTAATCCCAATTAGTCTAAATTTTAAAACTATTATATTTGTCTTCATTGGAAATGCAACTATAAGATATGTATGCTCATCAGAAGTTTATTGGATCTAAGGTGGTACAGTCACTATTAACAGGTACTTTGAGAGAGACAGACAGAATACATGGAAACTCCTTAAGTTCTTTATAGTCTGGTCCAGGTGACTGAAAAGCACACCTCCTCTCAGGAATACTCTCTCCTGTACATCTGTCCAAAGTGGACACTGCTTTCTCTCCTGTACTCCATGGATCATGCATTGGACAACTGGATATTTTTTTTTCCTCTTATCCTTAATTCTGCTTTGTGGTCATCACTTCCCCTTTTCTCAGTTGGCGACGGGCTAGGACCTTTTTATTCAGGTAGTAAAGCTCTTATGAGCACCCTCCTGCTTTCTCCCTGCTTTCCCACCCTTCACCTCATCATCAGTGATCTGGCTTCTAGATCACAGTCGTCTTCTCACCCCCAGGTCTTGTTGCTGTTTTTAATAACCTCACTGTCTGCATGGAAGTGTGACCTGACTCTCTAACCACAGTTTCTGGTCCCTATCTACCATCACACTCACCTTTACTCCACTTCCACTCCACACTGCTTGATCACACCTTAGTGTTTCATACAGAACTCATCTGCTGCTGATACATTACTCTGCCCTCTTAGTAGAATTATTATTATAGTTCTCCATTTACTTTAGTGCCAGATTTTGGTAACTAAAAGAGGTCCAAAGACTTGTTTTTCTTTTGTGAAAGGCAAAATGAGAAACTATCCTTCTGTGTTTCTTGTACACTTTTAGTGAGCAATACAAGCTCCTTGCAGGGAACTAGTTAGAGAATCAAGCTGCCATACCTTTCATCTGTGCCTCTATTATATGTTGTTATTCTTTTAGGTTTTATGTATTATTATGACTTGATAGGATATTTTTTTGGCATCTGTGAACAGTGACTTCCTGGTGGCCTAGTTGGTAAGGAATTGTTCTGCCATTCCAAAAGTAAGCAGTTCGAATCATGGTACTTTATTTTGGGGGAGCATTCTGCTTAGTTGTACAGCACTCTTTTGTCAGTTGCTGTACTGAGGTAATCTAGGTTTGCTGTGATGCTGAACCTTGTGCCAGCCATTGTCCATGGTGGACAGTGTTTGGTGGAGCTCCCATTTTAAGACAGGTTTAGAAGCAAGAGTGGTATCTGCTTCCTAAACCACATACCTCTAGAAACTATGAACCTGGAGAAATGACGTTAGTTACAGAGAAGCTTCAAGTCTTTTGTTCATAGGTCACTGAGTCTTGCTTGACTCGACGGCAGTCAGCAACAACTATCCTTACTCCCATAATACCTGCTTACACCTACATTGATATCTCCTTTTCTGGTTTCTACAGATCTGTCCAAATTTTTTAGCCTCTTCTGCTTGCTTTCTTAGATTTATGGAGAAAGTTGAGGTACCTCATTCCTGGTAGCATCTTCAATATCTTCAGATTCTTTATACTACTGTTCTTCTACCAGAAATGCCTGGTCAGATCCTAAGGATAGACTCACCCTACCATCTGACTTCTCTACCTCAATAGAAGCTTCATGATACTGTGGGAGAAAATAGCACATTCATATACCAGCAAAGCATTGTGCCTTCTTTGATGTTGACAATCAGCTCAACAGCAGTGATTTTGAGAGTGTTTTTGATAGTCTCCAACAACAGACGGCATCACTCATTTATAAAACATATTCACGGCTCAAGTTCCTTAGCCCTCTTCCTGTTTCTAGCTACTGTCCTCTTTCTCCCTTTCCTTTCTGAAACAAGTTCCTGAGAGTATCATTTGTGTTTAGTCCAGACATATAATAGCTGACCCTTAGTGAGCATTGTCCAAACCTCCCCTCCCTGACTCTCTCTTTTGCACTTTAAACCATTGCTCTCACCTCTTTTTCTGACCCACTCATTCACCTCTCCTAGTTGGCTGATTGGTTTTCCTAATAACTAGCCAGTTAGAGTTGAGGACTCATTCAATGGCACCTCTACCATAGTCCCTTCTTTAAACCTTGTGTTCTATGGTTCAGTGTTTGGCCAAGTATTCTTTTTAATGCTCTATATTCTCTCTTCACAGTGGTTTTTCCTCTCATTGTTTTAACGCTTATACCTATGTTGGTGCTTCTGAAGCCATGCTCTTCTGTCTTGACCCTTTCCCTGTATCCAAATATACCTTCACTGTTCCCACTTGAATGTACCACAGCACATTAAACTCAGCATATTTGAAGCCACACAATATATCTCACTTTTCAACTTGCCAACTTTTTCTTCTACATTTCCTATATTTTATGATTCAGCAAGAAATGTCAGTTCTGTGCACTAGCAATTGTTGGTATGGATGCAGACATGGCCCCAGAGAGCTCCCCTGCTTCCTTCAGTCAGTTCTTTCCATTTCTACCACTTGTTCTTCTTCCTTATTTATATCATTTACTTTTGTTTTAGAGATAATAATAAATGGCTTTGTTCTTCTTTTAAAATATTTCCTTAGGATAAATTTCTAGGAGTAAGATTATTAGGTCCAAGAGTATAACAATCTTATAATTTTCTCTGTGTATTATTAGCTTATTTCCCAAAAGGATTTTGTCATTTTTCTCTAACAGTAATGTTTAAGTGTGACAGGTCCTTGCAATGTTATCAATTCTGTGTCAACATTAGTGTTTTAACATTGTTTGTTTGGGGTTCTGCCCCCACCCCATTTAGTAGGTTAAAATATTTTACAGGTTTTCTATTTATGTGTTAAGCCAAATGCTTTTTCCTGGTTTTGTTTTTGCTAAATATTTTGTCCATTTAGCCATAGGAGCTTTTGAAGCTCTTTTACTTGAATGAGCTCTTTCTGTGGAATAGATATATGAGATAAAAATCTTTTCTACCATATTCCGTGCAGATTACTTTTCTCATTTTATATAATAAGATGACTTTTTCATTCAGTAGAAATTTTACACCCTCATTTTGTTGAATCTGCCAATATTTTGCTCTGTTATTTCTTTTAAAAAGCAGCTTTTTAAAGCATTAAAATGACCAGTGTTTTAAATACCAAAAAAGCAGTGTGATATGACTGCATACTAGGTCTTGACCTTATGGAGAGTAGGTTGAAAAGACCACATTTAACGGTGCTTTGCGATGGAGCGTGAAGCAGAAATGTCAACAACAGCGGCTTTATGTGCGGTCACACACTGTGAGTGGCTTTAATAAGATAATTGTCTTGCCTCCCCTTTGCTGTGTCATATGAGTCTCCAGAGTTTCTTTTGTGCCTAATAGGGTAGCCCTTTTCTAGGAGCTCCTACAAGGTGCAAGAGTTTGACACAGAGTAGGATTAGAATGCATTAATCTGACATCCATACTTTTTGGGGGGAAGGAGAAAAGGAGGAGCATTTTAAAAACTATGAAATAAGGCACAGCTGTATTATGTATTTTGAATGCTGATTGAGTTAGTAGGAATCACCATGGGAACATCATCTTTGTGTGTTATTTTGCCTTAGATTTTGACTGTGTATCAAAACAGTGAAATCTTTTTATACATCTACTGAACTTAGTTCTGAGACCATGAATTCTAGAGGTCATGGGAACACTTTCTTCTCTGTCTGTAAGACATCTGCTCAGAACGTTTCCATACAACGTATTTAAATATTGAGAACCAGATTTATTCTGAAGCACAAGACATTGTAGCCAAAGCCCTACTGAGTTCCATCATTGTCAAAGGGATATGATGGAGATATTTGTGATACACTGAAAAATTGGAGGTTTTCTATAAGTGTCCTTTATCCCCCCTAGGATATGCATATACATATGTTAGCTTTGCATACTTTATTTGTTGAAGTATTTAACAGTATTTCACATTTTCTTTCAGTCTTCACAGAAAAATACTGTACTGCTAACCACGTGGATAAACTTCCTGGTCCAAGAGACTGGGTTCAGATTCTTCAGGATCAAATTAAATTGGCAAGAAGAAGGTTAAAAAGAGGCTCAGGTACGAATAGGTTGCAAGATAATAATTTCAGAACTCAGACTCTGAAAGTATACTACTTTGCTCTAGAATATTTCATTGTCTTTTGTCCTTTAAAGATAGGGTATCGAGTTTTATATTTTAAAGTCTTACTGAAATTAAGTGCCAATTCAAATTGTACCAATCCATTTGCTTTTAATAGTGTAAACAAAAATAATTGCTAGTCTCACTTGTGGTTTAATGTGTTTCATGTTTGAAACTGGGTCTGTCTTTTGTGGTTTGCTTCTATTCGCCTGTTAATTTTTGTTTATTTGGATCTGCATGAGTTTGTGAAAGTGTAGTAGTTGCTCCAGGTTAAGACAACAGTCATCAAACTTGACAAATCACAAGAAAGAAACAGAAAGATGTTTTAAGACATATATATATATACACACACACACACACACACACACACACATTGGGTTGGAGTTTCTGGAATTATTCTTTCAGGAAAAATAAACATCGAGCAATCTAACACCAGTTGAATTGTGACTATTAGATTTGTTGATTTGAAGTCTCAGTCCCTACAAAAGGACAGAGGGCCAATTTACCAGTTAAGAATCCCTTTGAGGTCAGTTTTTTCATATAAGAATAATCTTCTCCAGGGGGCCAGAGGCCTCCTTGATAGTGTTTAAGATAAAAATCCAACTCAAACACAAGGATACCTAGACTGACAAAATCTTTGCCTTGAGTGTGACAGGGATTTTGAAAGGAGATTGATTTTCAATGCTGAAATGGTGTCAATTTTAGAATATTATTGAGGCTTTTTGGAGCAGTAACTCTAAACACATAAGACTATATAGCTAAACAGATCCTTTTTCTATACACTTGCACAAGTTACAGTATGTTCTCTTCTACTGAGCCTATGCTAAGGGATACTGGGAACTCGGTTCACAGGTCTCAGTGTAAAGACTTTGTTGTTGTTGTTGTGTGCCATTGAATCTAAACTAACTCATAGCTGACCTTCCAGATTTTCAGAAGCGGTAAATTGCATATGTGCTCATCCTTCTTCCATGGAGAAATCGGGTGGAATTGAATCGTGTGCCTTTGGGATTGCAGTGCAGCCTCTTACCCCCTGGCCACCAGAGCTCCCTGTAAAGACTTCGTTGTGGTTGTTGTCTTCAAGTTGAAAATGACCCATAGTTGTTCCTCCTTTGGGTTTTTAGAGGCCGTTAATCACACAGGAGGAAATTGCTTATCCTTCTCCCACAGAGCAGCTGGTGGGTTCGAACCCTGTGCCTTTGGGATTGCAGCACAGCTTCTTACCACTAGGACACTTTTATTATAAAAATAATTGGTCTTAGTGTGTGCCTTTGAGTCAGAACTTACCCATAGCTGACTCTTTACACGGCAGTAAATTATATATAGTAAATCACACAAGAAGATAATTGACCATCTTTCTCCCCTAAAGCAGATGGTGGATTTGAACTGCATACCTTTGGATTTGCAGCACAGTTCCTTCTAAAATAACCCCTGATGATTTTTTTACATATACTTAAAGATGCTCTTCCTTCCTTTACCTTTTTTTCCCCTTTACTTTTTAAACTTTTTTCTTCCTAAATTTATAACAAAGTATTTACTTAGTTCTTCTCTTCCTAAGTTTACAACAAAGTATTTACTTAGTTCTTCTCTTCCTAAGTTTACAACAAA